TTTATGATCCCTTAACTTTTTTTATCAAATGCTTCTTTACCAAAACAATTTGTTAAAGTAGTCACAATCCATCAGAAAAGTTTCTTATTTTATGCATATTCACTTCAAAAACTGTTTTTATCACGGTTATTCATATGGAAAGTAATTAGAGAATTATATGGTGACAGCATTTGCAAGAGATTCTTTATTTCTTATTTTTTAAAAATTTTTAGGCGTTAGTGATGCTCTTTTTTGCGTGGTATCCATTGACTTGTCTAACTCTTGTTTTCAAAAAACTTTTCTTTGCCGCAATTCCATTTTCTCGTCTTCTTTTTTGAAAATGTGTACCATGTCAAACAGGCGTAGCATTTCAGGTTTTTGCTCATCTTTGTATTAAGCAAAAATTTGACCACCTGCTAGGGTATGTTTTTCACTAAAAAAAAACAGATCTTCTATAAACTCTCGTAGGGTTTCGAGAGTGGTATGATAGAGAAGGCAAAACTTTTTAAATTTTTTTTTATAAATTGATGTCGTCGGCGGATCATTCGGTGTTAGTTGCGCAAAGACCGGCCACCCTTGTTTGCTTCTCATAGCAAATAAGCAGTAAAAGAGCATTTTCTTTGATTATCTTTAAACTTAAGCGAACTTGGCCCTCTCAGAGTTTACTCACCTCCACATTTGTTATATCGTAGTCTTTCACTCTTGGATCCTTGCTGATAAACAGCGCCAGAGGCGGAACAATGTACACATGAGTGGCCCTGTGTTTCTGGATCGCCATCAAAAAACTGACCGGCTTAAATTCCGGCTGCAAAACCACATTTCCGCCCCTCATAGGACAGCAGATTGCGTATATGTACAGTCCGTATAAGTGATATAGAGGCAGAACTCCTATCATTGTGCTATTTTGACTAAAGTTGAACAAGTTTTTATACTGAGCGAATTGATACACGTTCGATAGCATATTGTAGTGGGTAAGCTCTACTCCTTTGGGTAACCCAGTCGTTCCAGATGAAAAAGGCCGGATCCATGTATCCGTTTTGGGATCCAACAAGGATTCTGGTTCCAAAAAAGGACCATCTGGTTGCTTAAGCAGGGTTTCGAACAGATAAACTGGTATGCCATGTAACAATGTTGGAATATTTTGAACGTCTTCAGAACTTTCTAGAACAAAAATTTCTTTAATCTGCGGTGATTTGTTTTCCTCTTTACATAGTTTCAGAGCGTCTTCAAGAGTCGACAGAAGGTTGCTTCCAATTAAAATAGCACTGGCATCGCTGAATTCCAGTTGATATTTGAGTTCATGTCCAGTGTAGGTAGGATTAGCTGTTTTACAGGTCACGTGGGCAAGTGAGCATCCAATCAGGGAAACGACGAAGTTGTTGCAGTTTTGGCTGAATATGCAAATGGTATGTCCTAAAAAAAAACATTTTCAAAACCAAAAATCAAACATTTGCCGTTTTCATTTTAAAAAAACATCAACTGATTAAGAAAAACTTTTCCCGCGCAAACTTTTTGCTTGAAGTTTGAGGAGAAAAAATATATTTTATCGATTTCATTATATTTTTGATAGTTGATCAAGATTGATTTTCTTGTATCATCTAAATTTTGCAAGATTTTGTCAAAAAATCATGCATTGTATCACAAAAATGTTGCATCACTTTGTAAGAGTTTATCAAGCATCCCATTCAAAACTATTCAAAAATTTAGCAAACATTTTTTTAAAATTTTTGCAAAAACTTTACAAGATAACGCACTTAGATCTCGTTGGATATAAAACGAAGTCCTCTCTACAAAATTTTCTCTATTATAAACTTCGAAAAACAGAAGTATAAAGCTGACCTTTCTTGTATCCCTTGTGAAGAATATTTGAACTGAATCTTCTGATTCTTGACGACAACTCAGAAAAGAGCAGCTTCTCATTTCGGCCTTCGTCCAGAAACCAACTCGAAGGAAACTTGTCTATTTGATCCAGGTAAAAATCAGCAAATGATTTGTTCCCAGGTTCTGGAATTGGTATTATGTTTTTAATATCTTCGCATTTGAAGTAAGAACTCATGATGGTAAGCAAAGAATATTTTGCACAAAATTAGAAGATTACTGAAAAGAAAGTAACGTAAAGCGTTATAGATCCTTATATGTCTGATCAAATCAAGCGATCTATAAATTTTAGATGCATTAGTTTGTGCGAGTTATAACTCACCTTGTATAATATTTGCACTGGTTAGAAACTTGGTTCTGCACTTTGTTAGTAGCTTGAATCAGCCTTAGCATGGTGTTACTTTAATTGCAAACTGTTGTTCAGTGAATCTTCAAGCTTTCCTCAACCTGGTATCCTCGACAATGACATACCTTTCACCAGCTTTCCAGCTAGAGGTATGAGATATACGGTCACGTATCGTAAATATCATATGAAGGCAGATCTGAGCAATGTTGTATCATAGATTTTTCATGTCCGCACCATATCTGCAGCATGTTTAAAAGAAGCTTTGAAGAGCTGATTCATATCTGCATCTTATCTGAAATTTTTACTTTATGTCAGGTATGAGTACAGTGCTGATTTAAATTATCCGGACAAAACGAACAAAACTTGAATTTTCAAACTCGTTTTTCTCAAATTGGGTTAAGATTAGACAAAAAGGGAAGAGGACAAAAGTTGCTGAGAATTTCACCAGAATTAATATGGTGCCATTTTTTCTCCGAAATTCTCAACATAAATTTTAACCCAAAAATGGGTCATTTTGGCTTTTTTCAATTAATCAAGAATTACACTGAAACTACTTTGTTAATTGATATGAAAATTATATCACAGGAAGCCTCTTACGCAGCTCAACAAAGTTTAAACAGGGTTAAATCTCCAAAAATTTGCGCAAATTGTTTAAAATTTATTTTAAACAGAGATTCTGGGTTTTATGTAGTAAAAATCACATTTATTGACTATCGAGTGAAAATTTTTTCTCTTTTACTGGTTTTTGAAGATTTAACTCTTGTTAAAATTTGTGAGACTGCGTGAGAGGCTTCCTGTGATATAATTTTTTTATCAATTAACAAAGTAGTTTCAGCGTAATTCTTGATTAATTGAAAAAAGCCAAAATGACCCAATTTTGGGGTAAAATTTTTGTTGAGAATTTCGGAGAAAAAATGGCACCATATTAATTCTGGTGAAATTCTAAGCAACTTTTGTCCTCTTCACTTTTTGTCTAATCTTAACCCAATTTGAGAAAAACGCGTTTGAAAATTCAAGTTTTGTTCGTTTTGTCCGGATAATTTAAATCAGCACTGTAGTACGTGCATCATACGTGCATCAAACCTGCACAAACCTCACCCACTCCTGTGTCTGAACCTTTCTCATGCTTGCATCAAACCTGCACAAACCTCACCCACACCTGCGTCTGAAACCTTCTCATACAAGCATCAAACCTGCACAAACCTCACCCACTCCTGCACCTCAATCCTTAACATGCGAGCATCAAACCTGCACAAACCTCACCCACTCTAGCGTCTGAATCCTTCTCATACAAGCATCAAACCTGCACAAACCTCACTCCCTCTTGCGTCTGAATCCTTCTCATACAAGCGACAAACCTGCGAAAAACTCACTCACTCTTGCGTTTGAAACCTTCTCATGCTTGCAAAAAAAACTGTGCAAACCTCACCCACTCTTGCGTTTGAATCCTTCTCATACAAGCATCAGACCTGCAAAAAACTCACTCACTCTTGCGTTTGAATCCTTCTCATGCTTGCATCAAACCTGCACAAACCTCACCCACTCCTGCGTCTGAATCCTTCTCATGCGAGCATCAAACCTGCACAAACCTCACCCACTCCTGCGTCTGAATTCTTCTCATGCAAGCATTTAACCTACACAAACCTCAACCACTCCTGCATCTGATTCCTTTTCATACAAGCATCAAACCTGCACAAACCTCACCCACTCATGCGTCTCAATCCATATAATGCGTGCATCAAACCTGCACAAACCTCACTCACACTTGCGTCTGAATCCTTCTCATACAAGCATCAAACCTGCATAAACCTCACACACACCTGCGTCTGAATCCTTCTCATACAAGCATCAAACCTGCACAAACTTCACCCACTCCTGCGTCTCAATCCTAAACATGCGAGCATCAAACCTGCACAAACCTTGCCCACTCTAGCGTCTGAATCCTTCTCATACAAGCATCAAACCTGCACAAACCTCACTCCCTCTTGCGTCTGAATCCTTCTCATACAAGCATCAAACCTGCGCATACCTCACCCACTCATGCGTCTCAATCCTTATCATTTTTCCATCAAACCTGCACAAACCTCACCCACACCTGCGTCTGAATCTTTCTCATACAAGCATCAAGCCTGCATAAACCTCACACACACCTGCGTCTGAATCCTTCTCATACAAGCATCAAACCTGCACAAACCTCCCCCACTCCTGCGTCTCAATCCTTATCATTTGTGCATCAAACCGGCACAAACCTCACCCACACCTGCGTCTGAATCCTTCTCATACAAGCATCAAACCTGCACAAATCTCACTCCCTCTTGCGTCTGAATCCTTCTAATACAAGCATCAAACCTGCGCAAACCTCACCCAGTCATGCGTCTCAGTCCTTATCATAGAAGCATCAAACCTGCACAAACCTCACTCCCTCTTGCGTCTGACTCTTTCTCTTACAAGCATCAAACCTGCGCAAACCTCACCCACTCATGCGTCTCAATCCTTATCATTTGTGCATCAAACCTGCACAAACCTCACCCACACCTGCGTCTGAATCCTTCTCATCCAAGCATCAATTCTGCATAAACCTCACACACACCTGCGTCTGAATCCTTCTCATACAAGCATCAAACCTGCGCAAACCTCACCCACTCATGCGTCTCAATCCTTATCATTTGTGCATCAAACCTGCACAAACCTCACCCACCCCTGCGTCTGAATCCTTCTCATACAAGCATCAAACCTGCATAAACCTCACACACACCTGCGTCTGAATCCTTCTCATACAAGCATCCAACCTGCACAAACCTCACTCCCTCTTGCGTCTGAATCCTTCTCATACAAGCATCAAACCCGCGCAAACCTCACCCACTCATGCGTCTCAGTCCTTATCATTTGTGCATCAAACCTGCACAAACCTCACCCGCACCTGCGTCTGAATCCTTCTCATACAAGCATCAAACCTGCATAAACCTCACACACACCTGCGTCTGAATCCTTCTCATACAAGCATCAAACCTGCACAAACCTCACTCCCTCTTGCGTCTGAATCCTTCTCATACAAGCATCAAACCTGCGCAAACCTCACCCACTCATGCGTCTCAATCCTTATCATTTGTGCATCAAACCGGCACAAACCTCACCCACACCTGCGTCTGAATCCTTCTCATACAAGCATCAAACCAGCACAAATCTCACTCCCTCTTGCGTCTGAATCCTTCTAATACAAGCATCAAACCTGCGCAAACCTCACCAAGTCATGCGTCTCAGTCCTTATCATACAAGCATCAAACCTGCACAAACCTCACTCCCTCTTGCGTCTGAATCTTTCTCTTACAAGCATCAAACCTGCGCAAACCTCACCCACTCATGCGTCTCAATCCTTATCATTTGTGCATCAAACCTGCACAAACCTCACCCACACCTGCGTCTGAATCCTTCTCATCCAAGCATCAATTCTGCATAAACCTCACACACACCTGCGTCTGAATCCTTCTCATACAAGCATCAAACCTGCGCAAACCTCACCCACTCATGCGTCTCAATCCTTATCATTTGTGCATCAAACCTGCACAAACCTCACCCACCCCTGCGTCGGAATCCTTCTCATACAAGCATCAAACCTGCATAAACCTCACACACACTTGCGTCTGAATCCTTCTCATACAAGCATCCAACCTGCACAAACCTCACTCCCTCTTGCGTCTGAATCCTTCTCATACAAGCATCAAACCCGCGCAAACCTCACCCACTCATGCGTCTCAGTCCTTATCATTTGTGCATCAAACCTTCACAAACCTCACCCGCACCTGCGTCTGAATCCTTCTCATACAAGCATCAAACCTGCATAAACCTCACACACACCTGCGTCTGAACCCTTCTCATAAAAGCATCAAACCTGCACAAACCTCACTCCCTCTTGCGTCTGAATCCTTTTCATACAAGCATCAAACCTGCGCAAACCTCACCCACTCATGCGTCTCAACCCTTATCATTTGTGCATCAAACCTGCACAAACCTCACCCACACCTGCGTCTGAATCCTTCTCATACAAGCATCAAACCTGCATAAACCTCACACACACCTGCGTCTGAATCCTTCTCATACAAGCATCAAACCTGCACAAACCTTACTCCCTCTTGCGTCTGAATCCTTCTCATACAAGTATCAAACCTGCGCAAACCTCACCCACTCATGCGTCTAAATCCTTATCATTTGTGCATCAAACCTGCACAAACCTCACCCACACCTGCGTCTGAATCCTTCTCATACAAGCCTCAAACCTGGATAAACCTCACACACGCCTGCGTCTGAATCCTTCTCACACAAGCATCAAACCTGCACAAACCTCGCCCACTCTAGCGTCTGAATCCTTCTCATACAAGCATCAAACCTGCACAAACCTCACTCCCTCTTGCGTCTGAATCCTTCTCATACAAGCATCAAACCTGCCAAAAACTCCCTCACTCTTGCGTTTGAATCCTTCTCATGCAAGCATCAAACCTGCAAAAAACTCACTCACTCTTGCGTTTGAATCCTTCTCATGTTTGCATCAAACCTGCACAAACCTCACCCACTCCTGCCTGTGAATCCTTCTCACGCGAGCATCAAACCTGCATAAACCTCACCAACTCCTGCGTCTGAATCCTTCTCATACAAGCATCAAACCTGCATAAACCTCACACACACCTGCGTCTGAACCCTTCTCATTAAAGCATCAAACCTGCAAAAAACTCACTCACTCTTGCGTTTGAATCCTTCTCATGCTTGCATCAAACCTGCACAAACCTCACCCACTCCTGCCTCTGAATCCTTCTCACGCGAGCATCAAACCTTCACAAACCTCACCCGCACCTGCGTCTGAATCCTTCTCATACAAGCATCAAACCTGCATAAACCTCACACACACCTGCGTCTGAACCCTTCTCATAAAAGCATCAAACCTGCACAAACCTCACTCCCTCTTGCGTCTGAATCCTTTTCATACAAGCATCAAACCTGCGCAAACCTCACCCTCTCATGCGTCTCAACCCTTATCATTTGTGCATCAAACCTGCACAAACCTCACCCACACCTGCGTCTGAATCCTTCTCATACAAGCATCAAACCTGCATAA